TGAAGGCAGCTCCAGTTTATAGACTTACAAGTCTATCTTCTTTATAATTCTATAAGGTTCATGCCTTAACAAATCCAATTTTTTGTTAGACTGCATAATCTTGATATTGTAAAGATCAAGTTACATCTTGTCTTCCATCTGAAAAGTCTTTACAGTGTGCTTCTGATTATAGTACTTCTTCTGGTAGACTTATGCCTTCACAAGTAATTTCTTAATCTTCTTGCAGAGCAATCTTATTGTCTTCATCTAATTCTTTAAATTCTTGCACATATAGTTATACTCATCAGAATCCAATAGATCTGTTTGTGGATTCAACTTATATATTAGCTGAAAAGATGATTTCTGTGTGGAGACCTGCTGTAAGTTATTGTATGTGAACTCTGTTATTAGCAACCACATCATCCAGTCATCTTGATTATAACTGATATAACTTTGCAGGTACTGCTCTAGTACACTATTCAGTCTCTTAGTTTGACTATTAGTTTGCAGATAGAATGCTGTACTTATTACTCTTATAATCTTCAAGATGTGAGTTAAATTACCCTAAAATTTACTTGTGAACAGAGATTTTTAATCTGTTACTATGCTTGCAGATAATCTGTATAATCTTACTATCTTGTAAATAAAGAGATGAACCAATTCCTCTGATATCAGCTTTTTTGTTGTAGAGATAAAGTGAGTCATCTTTGTGAGCCAGTCTACTACAACCAGAATACAGTCAAACTGCACCTTCTCAAGATTCAGGCTTGTGAGAAGATCTGTAATAACATTCATGCTAATAGATTCTCAAGGGCAATTTGAAATTGATAAGAATGATAGTTTTTCTTGAGATTTTCTGTAAACTCTTCTTGAGTTCTGGCAGACTCTACAGACTTCATAACACTTCTTCATCAGTTCTCTCATTCTTGATCAAAAGTATTTGCAAGTTATAAGCTTATACATTCTTGCTGTAGCAAAATGCTCTGCAAGAGGTAGATCATAATAATATCTGATCAGCTCTATTCACAAGGCCTCATTCTGAGGGATGTACATGTGACCATCTTTATAGAGAATGCTCTTCTTCTCTTTTTATGTTGCAAATTTCTTCATGCCTGTCTTAATGTTTTTATAGACCTCAGCTGTATAGTTGTCACTTTGCAGTAGATTTGACAATAATGCCAACAGGTTGGAGCTGCTCTTCTTATAAGAATTCTTCTCATAAATCAGATCTTTAATTTTCTGAACCTGCATTGCAATCTTCTTTATTTTGTATGTGTCTTTCAAGACAATCTTTGTAAGTAGTTTCTTGATTGCAATTCAAAGCTTTATAAAGATAAGTTGTGCATTCTCATCTTCTTTCTCTTCTCTCTGGTTGGAAGAAACTTGAGCTGTCAGTTCTAACTTTTCTGTAGTCTCTTGCTTCTTTGTAAGCATCATTCTTAGTTAATTTGCAGTCTTGTGACTCTTCATATTATCTAGACCAGTCTTCTTGGTATAATCAGATCTTTATGAGAGTTCATCTGCTGAGTTCTTGATTTCTTTCATATGGTTAACTGTAAATCAAAAGGCTGTCAGTCTTTATGTTCAGTAGACCTGTCTTTGTGAGAGATCTTGAGCAGTCTGGAAATGGCACAAGCTATCATGATTTGTGAGAACTTGAACTGGTGTTTGCAAGCCTTTCAACCAGCAGTATTAATATCTAAATGACTCCACAATTGTGAGCAGTTCTTGATTATGAATGCCATAATTTATCTCTGCAGATTACATCTTTTGCAAATAAAACTTAACTGGAACCCAAATGCCATTCTTTACCAGCTGTAATAGAATATCATACATTATGAAGCCAGATACATCTGTTTCTAGTCTGGTCTTCCATTTCATATCAAAATAGTGAAGCATAACAGCTTCTGTAAATGCTCTTTTCAGATCTATAAAGACTTTACAATCTTTCTCAGTCATAAAAGTATTGATCTCTCTTCTTATCTCTTTTTGTATGCACCTGCTTAGCTTTGCTTCTTCTTTCTTTAGAAGAGTAGTCAGGCTGCAGACTATCTTAGAGAATCTTGAGATGAAGCACCTGTAAAAGTTTGTGAATTCTAAAAAGATCTGAATCTCTTTCTTACTGGTTAGCTCTGGCCAGTCAAGAATAGTGTTTATACAGCTCTTCTCCATAAGAATATTCTCTGATATTATGATATACTCAAGGTAGTCAATCTCACAAGCATTGAACTTGCACTTTGCTAGCTTGTAATAAAGATCTGCATTTTTAAGTATCTTAAGTACTAATTTCACATGCTTCTCATGATCTTTCTTGCAAGCTGAGTACATGATCACATCATCAAGATAGGTCATTGTGAACACATCCAGATATTTGCTAAGTGCCTTCACAATATGTAATTGAAAGGCTGCTGGTGTATTTGTAAGTTTAAAAAACACTATCAAGTACTTAAATAGCTTCTGTGGAGTTTGAAATGCAGTCTTTCACTTATTCTCTTTATGAATTCTTAATCTATAGTAGACATTCTTGACATTTAACTGAGTGAATATTGCAGCTCTTACAAGCTTATACAATATATCTTCAATCAGTAATAGAGAATATCTATTCTTGACTGTTTTTGAATTCAGATTATGATAGTCCACACACATTCTTAGTCTGTCATTTTTCTTGAACACAAACAGAATGGGTGCTTCTGTAAATAACTTGAAAGAGCAGATGAACCCATGAGTTAGAGTACTGCTGAGATATTTGTGAAGAGTCTCTTGTTCAGCTTGTGAAAGTCTGTATGTTCTTCCAAATTCTGGCTGCTTCTCTGGCTCAAGATCTATAATCAAATTATTTTTGTGGTGTAGTGGCAGCTTTTAAGCTCTCTTGTTGCTAAATACTTCTGCAAGTTTACAGTAAACTTCTAGTATCTGAAGATCTAGGTCTGCTATCACTACCTGTTCTGATTTACAGAAAGTTATTATATAGATGAGCTTCCTTCTCTTTACTAGCTCTGAGAGATTAACTGGTTTAATCTTTGCAAGCAGGTCACAATATACAGTTTGAAACTCTAGTCTTAGTTCTCTGAAATACATCTTGAAATTATATTGCTGCAGCTAGCTCAAACTCACTAGCATCTCATCTTTTATATTTGTAATCATTACTTGTTTATGAAACAACTGCTAGTTTCTCTGAAAGTTACAGGCTTTAAAGAATATATTTGCAATCTTTTTCACAAGAGTAACATTCTCATAATCTATAGCAGTTTCAATCTCTATAGGCATCTTGTGCATCTCTAGTGCTAGCTTTATAACCAATTATAAACTAATCACTAGAGATTGATAACTCAAGTCTATTAGTGCTGACCAGATGATACTTCTGTCAGTTAAGTTTCACATGTCTAGAACAATGGGGGGAAGAGCAAGAAGACTTTTCTTGAATAACTTCATTATATTAATTCTATCTACTTGTGGCTTTCCAATTCCCTATTTACTACTCTTCTTCTTGAAACAATCTTTTATAAGATGTCTCTTTTAGCTACACTCAAAGCACTTCTCTTCTTTTCTCAAAGCTTCATAATTCTTGATAAGATCTTTCCCCATCTTCTGAGCAGGTCTCTAAAATTGACTTCTCTTATTTATTTATGGTCTTAAATCATCAGTCTTTATATCTCTGTAAGCACTTCCAACTGAATTGATAGACTTTATGTATAAGACATTCTTTTCAAGAACTGCTGTCACACTTGGTTGGAGTTGGGTAGTCAGTGCTACTATCTTATTAATATCATCTAGTATTTCCAGCTGTTCATTCAGTTTAGCTCATATGAGCTTATTCAAGTTCTCTATGTATAGATTCTTCTTCATTTTTTCAAAGCTTTCAAATTCTTCACCAATTTTTGTCACAAGCTCTAGAAATTATTAGTGGTAGGCTTGATCAGTTTCATTCAAACTCTTGCAAAGATTGAGGATTGCTTATTAAGAGTTTTGTATATAATTTGCTGAATCTTCTAGCCTTGCATATAGAAATTTCTTGAGACTATTTCAGTTATTTTTTAATGGATTGTTTTTATGATAAATCTTCCAGAGATCTTTTTTAATGTAATCAAGTTCTGTAAAAGTGTATGTGAGGGTTTCCTCATCATCTAATTTACTTGTATTGTGAGTGAATTCAATACTGGAGATAAACTGCTGATATTTTGTATAGAAGCCAGTCTGATAGAGCTTTATATATTATAATGATCTCAAGACTGACAGATGCTTTGTGGGTGTTGGGTTGAAGATAACTATATTAAAAGATTCACTTTGTAAGTGCTTTTAAGTGGCCTGGAGAGTATTCAACTTTTCTTGTTATTTTGCCATTCTCTTTAGTAGTTTGGTTTTCTTGCAAAGTTATTGAATTTCATCTCTTGATGCTAAGATAGACTCTCTCTCTGAGATCACAATACTAGTTTTGATTTCATCCATGGTTGAGAGAGCTGAGATGATTTCAAGATTTGTTATCTTCTTACAAACTTGAGTTTGTTCTTTAAGTAGATTTTCTGCTGGTGTTCCAGATTTGTGAGCTTCAGGAGATTAGCTTCTTTGTATTGATACTATTATCAGATGTCATTAAAGAAGAATGGCAAAATGTGAGAATTGTATGTGTAGATTGATGTAACAATAAATCTATAGAAGAAATTGTATGTAGAAAAGAGTATGTGAAATAAAAGATCTGGTATTGACAGCTATATATAACTTGTAGACAAGATTGCCACTGGCTTTCAACAAGAGGTTCACACAGTGGCAGTCTTTTATATGTGCTTGTGAGCATGTAACTTAGTGCCTTGTGAGGACACATGTACTCCCAACACCTTGTGAGCTGAGGCCCTGAGCTCTTGCAGGTGTTGTTTGTCTATGTAAGGGGTTTGTGGGTGAATTCTTACAATGAAATATTCTTCTTTAGGAAAATAAAACATTTTGCCAATTTAATGGCACTTCATTCTCAAATTAATATAAAAAAAGAATTAAAAATCTAACTTTCTTCTCTAGATATCAATAATCTAATTATTGTTCTTCTCACCATTCTTCTCATTATTCTTATTAGAGAACATCACAATCTCAAAATCATCTTTCTTCATCTTTTCTGAAGCAGGCAGGCTGTTGTTGTCTTTAATCAGATTCTGTAATTAGCTCAGAAATCTTCTCATCTTCATCTTAATCCTCTCTCTCAACACACTAACTACAGCAAGATAATCATGACTATAGTTCATGATCTTGGTCTCAAGCTTAACTATTATTTGTTGAAACCAGGCCTGCTTACATACAGCAATAGAATGCTGTAGCTAGCTTGTTTTAATCTAAATATGTCAGAACTGTTATCAAATTTTGTTACTTTTGAATTCTATCTTCTTGTTCTGTCAAGCTTCATTCTCAGTCTCTGTAGTCTTTTCTTGATAATGCTTCTTCTTCTGTTCCCTTTTCTTTTGCTGAGATATTATAAGCTGGTGCTTATGATACTTCTTTGACTTGCTCTTGGCAAATTGCTTAGCTATCAACTATTTAATGGCTTTATTCTTAATTATCTTATAATTTTTCTTGCTGCTATTCTGTCTGCAATAAATGTTAATATAATTTAATGCAAACTACTGAGAGTGCATACTACTCATATTTGACTTGAATTCTCTTTAGTATATTATGGCATGCCTTGTGATCTGTCTCTTCTGTCTTGAATATATCTTTTTAATGATCTTTCAAGATCTGGTGGTGCTTCTGTACCACACAGGTCTTCTCTCTTATTGAATATTGTTTTGGCTCTATCTTCATGATTATATGCAATAAGTTGAATTGGAGGCACTGTATAATGAGATTATAGAGTGTATTAACCAACTACTTGTATAAAATGATTACTATACATATTATTTACATTCTACATGCATGTTACTATAGGCAAGCTTCATGTGTTGTTGCTATGCTGGCTATAGAATAATGGAAATATGAAGTGTATTGATCTAGTACTTGCATAAGATGATTACTATACATATTGTTTACATTCTACAGGCATGTTGCTATAAACAAGCTCAACACATTGTTGCTATACTGGCTGCAGAATAATAATATAAGATTAGTCTTTCTTTTCTTGTCTTTTTCTTTCTTTTCTTCTTCTTTTTCTTCAGAGCTACTGTTAACAATTCTTCTCTCTCTCTGATTATTTACTGTCCTGTAACACTTCTGTACAAGAACCTGCACTGTAATAAAAATAAGTTATGTTAAGAGATGAGTGCTTGCAGAATACTGCTCTAGCACACATTATTTACTGACAAGATGTTAGTTTTCCCTGTATGTATTCATTTTGTACAGCTGGAGAGAAGCAGCACAAGATCATATTAAAAAAATGGGCCCTGAAGAAGAGCAATTGATGTAAAGTTAATAAAGATGTTGATCTGGTCAACTTTAATCAGAAGAACCCCTGCTTCTGCTGCTCTGTTCATAATTAGAAGTTCAGCACTTGTATATCAAAAAGTAATGATTTTTAGTAACAGTCTTAATACTAATTAGTGAAATAGATGCTATCAAGAAGATTCATTACTTCCAGAGCTTTACAGAGCTAATTCTTCCAGTAGCCTTATTCCAGTAATTAATTCAGAAAATTACTTTATTCTGTCATCAAGAACATGAATATTGCTGGCAACATTCTGTTATTAAGTTACTTTAGAAGACTGCTGAAGCAATCTTGTGCACTCTATTTAAGTATAAGTTATTATTGGCAATGGCATTAATAATTATACTGAGTAATATAGACTCTGTTATGGTAATAATGTACCATAAGTATGTTACAGTTAACATTAATGACATGAAGCTCATTCTTGGCATCAGTACCATGACTGAATTGAACTATTTTAGCCTGATTAATATATCTGATTGCCCTGCCCCTGCTGCCCCTGCCCCTGCCACTATTACCTGCCACCTGTGTTTTGTCCCTGCTCCACCAACTACTGCTACTGCTTCACCATCACTGCTACTGCTCACCATTATCTTTCTGTCTTCCCCTGGTGCTGACAGGGTCTTCATCTGTCAAATAGCAGGTATTAGAGCCCCTGTCTGGTTCACAAAGCTGGTTCTGGAGGAGCAGAAGAAGGAGGAGAAGGAGAAGAAGAAGAAGAAGAAGAAGAGAGAGAAGAAGAAGAAGAAGAAGAAGAAGAAAGAGAAAGAAAATTATAATAATAATAAGAATGATGATGATGACAAGAACAATAACAATAATAATGATGATGATAAACTTGTCATTTAGACAGTTTCTAGTTGTTTGCTGGCTTTGACCATTACTTAGTTTTAATACTTTGTTTTTTTCTTTTACAATCAAATTGATTTTTCTAAGAGTTTCACCTTCATCAAAAAAGTAATAAAATTTGGTAACAGTCCCACACAAAATTTGACCAGTTTGACTCTTGACATAATGGGGCTGGGAAACCTGGTCCTATTCCAGTCCCACTGTAGACCTGGCTGGAATGGGAAATGAGAGCCTACCTTCTCTGCTGGAATAGGACATGGGACATAATTTTCTATTTGAGAACGGGACCAGGAAATAATTTATAGGATAGGGATGGTAATAGGATCTCAAGCTCTTGAGTGGGATGGGATATGAGACTGAGATTTCATATTTGGGATCCCAGCTGTCTCTAAATTTGGGACCGGGACAAGCTTCAATGGGAAATAGGATCCTGTCCCGGTCCCGAATACCAGCCTACTTCTCCCAGAGGCCTTGCCGGCCTTACTCTTACTTGATAGTAGTTTTTGGGATCAATACCTACTCTCCAGTGGGTTCACAGTGAATGAAGATATATTAAAAGCTGAAGAAGAGGCTTGTGTGAGAATCATATATGTGAATCAGTATGACAATGAATCTCTAGGAGGAATATATATGGAAAAAGAGTATGTAAGGTAAAAGATCTGTATTCTGCCAATTATGTATAACTTATAAACAAGATTGCCACTGACTCTCAGCAAGAGGTTCGCGCAGTGACAGCCTTTTATGTGTGCTTGCAAGCACATGACTTAGTGCCTCACAAGGACACATCGCGAGCTGAGGCCTCTGGCCCTTGCGGGTGCTGTTGGTCTGTGTAAGGAGTTCGCGGCGAATCCTTACATGAATACAAAGGATTTTGAGGGGTTGGGATCTCACATGGGGCTTTGCCAAATTACTGATATTCTCAACAGGTCCTATTGGGAACTATTACTCCCAGATGATTCGTTGAAAAAGGACTTGATCCAACCATTCCCATAACTGCCAGAAAATTGGATAGTTTGCTTTAGAAAGCTGTACTATATGGCTTTGGAAGTCGGAAAAATCAAAAATAGCAGTCTTAGTGTAGTGGGGATTCCGGTTGTTAGGTAATCCAACCAGCACCTCGCTCACGTGACCCACATAGATTAGCCGAGATTCCCCTTTAGGTAGCTTAGTGAATGACAAGCATACAAGTCCTCCATCACCGGTGCCTCATTAGGACAAAGGTTGTTCCGGTCCAAGGCGCAAACCACCCCAAAGCTACTATCCTTGAGCTAGATAAACCACCTGTAGCCCCTGCATCTTGCTTATTACCTTCACGCACCATTGCTCTTTTCTACACACTCGTTCCTTACTACCAGTTTGGTCATTAGTTAGAGAATATGAAGATTTCTTGTTCATGAAACTTGCTACTGTTCCTCATTAGAGCTGCCTGTGTTAGTACAGGGCTCTTTAGTACTATTACTCCTTATGAGCTTAGGTGTCTGTTAGGACATACCTATCTCTACACTTACTACTCGACCATACCCTTACTATGTTGTGATTTTTCACCTTTCTTGCGCTCTCACCATATCAACCAACTCGCCTACCTTGACGAGGCATCCCATCGTACCCCGCTCCATTAGAAAGAGCCAGAAAGCCAGAAAGCCAGAAATCTAAAAGTATCTAATTAGAAATCATTCCCCAGTCAACTGCTCTCTCTTGTCATTGCAAGTCATTTTTGGCACCCAGTGGGCCACAAAAAGAGGGCGCCAAAAGTGGCCTCTTCCATCTCCCAGGGCCATGAAAAGAGGGTGTCAGAAGTGGTCTCTTCTATAGCTTAAATTCAGACACCTGCCATCTTCCTGTGTTCCAGTTCAACAACTAATCTTCATTACATCAGAATATTCCTCCAGAGATGCCATCACAAAAGATTTCCAGAGTGATGAAGCTGTGTTGGTCCAACAATCAGTTGAGCTTGCAATAAAGTTGATGCTGCTTAAAGAACACCCTGGTCAAAAAGCTATGGGAATATAATGTTAAGTGTGGCAGTGATGTCTATCTTGTCATTGCTGATCACATGGGCGATGATGTGGTTAGATTTTGTACCACATAAGTTCATGGTGCACCAATGGTTGACTGAAGGCTTCCCGCCTTCACCAAGTGGCAGGAATCAAATGTGGTGGATGAGATACTCGAAGCAGATTTTCAAAAGGCATGTGATGTGGCACTTGCGAATGGTCTTGACCTTGAGCAGGTGTATAAGTATCAAGATCCAGAATTTTTTATCGAGCATGGGGTCAAAATTGGGATTTCACGGCGGTTTGTCAATGACATCAGCACTTGGGCGAAAGAGTATGAGCTAAGTGATGAGGACTGAGGCAGCCGCAAAGCATAATAGAGAGCTACGCAGATAATAAGAACTATGTAGATGGTTGGCTGTCATTTGGAGATCCGAACTGATAGGTATCATTCTACATTTCCATCATTATGGCCCTGGGAAGAGCTCTCCACCCACCGCGTCTGTGCTTCAAAGTCCTTTCTCTCCTTTCCTATCATGTTCTTCAACCCGATTTCCCTGAGTTCTGAAAAAAGAGCCACAGCCTCTTCATACATGCTGTGTGGAGTCCATCCATCACGGGCGGCAATTCCTTCTACAGCTCTCCAAAAGTCTTGCACTTCATTCCATCCTTCTCCATCCTCTGCGTGTCTCTGGAGCTCGTCCTGTGTAAAGTGAATTGGGCACGCGAAGTTGAAGCCTAGCTCATGCCAATGTCTGTACCAGGAATTAGGAGGCATACCTGTAATGGATATTGTAATTCTGGAGACTGATTTTACAACATACCTTTCCACATTTATCAGTGATTCGCGCAATGGCAAAATATCGTCGTCCCAGGTGTTGCTGACAAAGCTTATAGGCTCACACCTCACTCGCCCGAGCTTTAAACGGAGTACTCTGTTGAGGTTAGGGTTGAGTTTTGCTGTTTGCTGTTCATAAAGATAAAGAATTATGGAACTGGCGATCTGCTTTTTCAAGTGGGCCTTCTCATTCGGTTCAAGGTCCTTAAAATTTGGCGGTGGTTTCAAAATGATATCACCTTGGAAATCAACTAGGCGTGGGTGGCGGCCTTGAAGAACTAGAGGCCCAGCCCAAGCTTCCTGCCAGTCAATCACGCTAGTGATATGGCCTTTGTCCACAAAGAGGTTGCCGGCATGGAGATCTGTATGCCAGATTGTAGATGCAACGAGATTCGGGTCGTCTGTGGGCAAAAGATAAGGGACCACCTGTAGATACTTTTTGAGAAGAGAAAGATGGGCTTTGGGGGAATTTTGCGCTGTAGATGTTATGAATTGATCAGTCGCAGGCTTGGGGATTGCATGTTGCTCAATCCATTTCTGTTCACAACATGCTAAAGCTACCGCATATTCATGTGGAAGCTTCCCTGAAGGAATTTAAGCATAAGAAATATTGAGTGGGAGATGATTGACTTACATGGACCCCGATCTATATCCATCACTGAACGTTCTTTTGTCCAAAAATCTCTTGCTACAACAGGGCCAATGGAAAACCGCATCTTCACGTCCATTTTAAGTTCTGGTGATGTATCATTCACAACTTCAGCGACCACGGCCCCGGGGACTGCCTCGCCAGAGTAATAGAGATTCCCATATCTAAGTCCCGCGTCAGCTTCATCAATTGCAGTTCATTGAATTAATTATTCATACCTGCTGAAAGATACCGAAAGAAGCTTATTTTCAATCGATACCAGATCCTTCATGATAGAAATTCTGTCTTCTAGAGAAAGATTATCCCATACATCCTCCAGCTTTGTCCCTGCAGCTTCCTCCATGATGATGTATTCAGCACCAACAGGGTTATCAACGCGTGCGCTCCATGCATGAACCTGTGGGACAGGTATCTGGAGTACTGTACGGGCCTGTAGTAGAGTAAACCAGATGTCCAACAACTTGTCAAGGGCAAGAAGATGGGTCTTACAAAATCCATTGTCGCGACCTCCGATGCGGTGGTATAGTACTTGGGTCCAGCAATGGGGTGAGGTATTCTCGCAATGGCAGTAGACCCGTTGTCCATCTTAAGATGAAAGGTCTTGTTAAAAGAGCCTTCCGCCAACTTTGTCATGGCAACACACTTGTTCGCTCCAATACTTCCAGCCGCAATATGCTGGAGTTCCACCACATTGAAAGGTGTAAATCGATCCTGAAGTTGCTTTTCCTCATCCCAAAGCCAGCGGCCGCTTGTGTACTGGAAGAACTTGCCATATTTGGCAAGACTGTGATCTGACATTGAGAGTGACCGGCCCTGGACCGACGAGGAAAAGGGGGGTGAGAACGGAGAAAGATGGTAACTCCTATAAAACTTTGATGAACTCAGGCTTTTCGCTGGAAGCCGTTGAAATAATGTCGCGCCTTTCATCGCGTTGCTGGTTATTTTGTGGTCAAGAATTCAATCCAAGGCGAGCTCTTGTTTGGTGCTGCCGCCAAGCCTTGCTTCAGCAATCACACCTTCGCTCTTGACCAATAGGAAAGCTCCTGTTGCCCAAGCGCCAAGAAACCCATATAGGCCTGCAAGCGCCTTCAACATCCACGGCTGCGCCCTCCTCAAACAGGCCAGTGCGAATGGGCTCATCACGGCCCTTCTCACCCTTCCCGCCCTTTTCCCCGCCGCAGTTGCAGCACTTTGCGTCCTGTCTCATTTGAGAGGGAGAAGACAGCAGGGATCTGCTGTGCCGCATCATGCAACAGATTACTTGAGGGCGACACGGCGTGAGATCACTTGAAAGAAACTCGCGAAAGTGACAGCCTTAAAATAGACTGCTAGGCTTCCCCGCACCAATATCAGGCCAATTACTGTTCGCGCACCCTAACCCCTTTTGGGCTTAGCGTGCACGTGACCTCATGTGATCACTCTCAGTCCCCATACCGGAAAAATGAGCTTTTCGGGCAACCGTCGGAAAACGTTTATCCGACGCGACCCGTTGAGCCACGGATCGCAAGCTTGAAACCGTAGATCCACCATATATTTACAATGCACGTATAAAGGGTCCGAAACGTATAGAATTCGGAACGTATGATGCACCAATTGAGGGTTTTGAACCCGATTCGGAAGCTTTTTAATTGCTAGAAATTAACTACTAAGTGTTTACAGAACCACCCGCACAACCCGAATCGTAATGAATTTTTTTTTTTTTTAAATTTCAGGAGCCTCCTCACCGGTCGGAGTCTCTGGTTCGGGGACAGGGCGTAAAGCGAGCGCAGAAGAATCGTCAGGGCGAGCCCATTCGGGCCGCTTGATCGTACTTTCGAGCAAATCGGCTCCGCTGCCTCCAGTTGGAGACAGGCCCGACGCAGATAGGTTCGGCTGCGACTGAACGAAGGGAGAAGGCGTGATCGGAGTGGGGGAGGGGGGGGGAGGAGCGGACGCAGCAGAGGGCAGGGCAGCAGCAAATCGGCCTATCTTGGCTGCTGATTCGCAAATGGTTTCTTCTGCCTTTCGCTTTTTCTGTCATCAAATATCAAAGTCAGTTCAATTCATCCCGACATTGCATCAAGTATACTGACCGCAGAAGGTAAACAATTGGACTTTAAGTCCCGGCGGATGTCGGCCAAGGTCCTTTCAATATTCTATATATATAACTGCATTAGCATGAGTTGAATGTATGATCTCCAATCAGTTCAACCTACCTTGACAGAGCGGAATGTGTGCTCCGCAAGCTCTTTTTGTTCGGCTTGGATAGACACAAGCTTTTCCAACGCTGCCAAAGTGGCAGCACCAACTTCAGCGTTAAAAGGGGGGGGAGGGGGGGAGTTGTCAGTTTGGACCGACGGGGGTGCCATTTTGGCAAGCATTTCACTGAGACCAGCGGCCCGTTCCGCCATGCTGGTTTTCAGTTCTTCTCGGAGCGTCGCGTTCTTAAGCCTGAGAAAATCATCATGGTCAGACAGCAATGCTGCCACTTCCTTCTGCATCTCTGAAGGGACAGGAGCACAGGCTTTTTTATCTCCTGCACAATTGGTGCAGGCCTTGGCGGTTCCTTGCTTGCGTGAACAAGGCTTGTCGATGTGCGCCGTATATACGAACGTTAAACAGCGACCACAGAGTGTATCGCCCATAGCGGGCTCTTCTTTGACAGCCGAGGGCTTTCGCCCTGGCTTCTTCTTTGCGGACATCGGGGAGTGCTCGTCCTGAGCTGCTGCTAATTTACGCGTTTGCGGAGCCATTTTTTGATATTTCTGCATATATTGTCCTTCAGTTTGCTGCAGTTCCTTATTTCATTCGAAATCCACCACTTACCTCGATATTGGAACAGGGGGGGAGGGGCGACGAGAAATATAATGAGCTTAAGAGAAGGAAAAAAAGAAAAGAAGAGAAGAAGAGAGAGATTTTGTGTGGGAAGAGATTATTATATCTAGCGTGTCCGCTTGATTGTTTTGGATTTCCTAATCGGGACGTGTCTATTTATACATTACTAAGTGCTAACTCATTTTGCTTAGAGCTCCTACAGCTGATTACGGCGAACGATAAAGAGATATATATTGAATATAGCGAAATTCGGCTCTTGCAAGCATTGATATAACAGAGCATTGCATTGAAGTCTAGATATCAAACCCCGAAATCTATTTTGAAGCACAAACTAACAGCCAATTTTGACCCGAGAAGGCACCTTTCATGTATTCAACTAGAATCTGCGTCTCTTTCGGGGTTTGCGACCAGTTGCGGCTGGCGCGGGTCTCTTTGAACAGGCAGGCCGATTTGTCGCAGTCTCAAAATAATCCTCCGTGATGTCCTGCAAAGGATTCCGATTCTCCTTGTCTGAATCGTCATTCTCTGGCTCCCGCGGGGCTTGCACTGCCTGAGCCGGACGTGAATCGGGTTCCCTGGGCGGCATACTAGATGTCAACTGGACCGCATCCAGAATTCCTGGCAAAGTCTCAACATGGACAGCCTTTGGCTTCCTTGGTCGGACCTTCCGTCGGGCGAAGTCGTCCGAATTGACATCTCTCAGTCCTGGTTTCTGTGTCAAGCAGTCCCAGAGCTTGAGTACAGAATCCCAGGTGTAGGTCAACGGGGTGGATGCGTCCCGTTTCGGACTGTTGTCATCAAGATATAGCTTCACGTATGCTGCTAAATTTGCATACACCTCTATTGCCATAACTGTCAGAGCAGAAATCATGGCAATTAAGATTTACCATTGACTTACGTTCAAAATACCATTTCCCTTGTGGAGCTGACTTCTCAAAATCGACACACGGCTTGACCCAGTAAAAGACTTCACAGAATTGGTCCCACTTGAACAATCGGGCAAAATAGCTGATCAGCTTTTGTCGATCGGTTATTTCATGGAGTCCGAAATCGGGATTCTCAGTCAAGCTGAGTTCAATACATTCCCTGACATGATCCTGCAAATGAGGTCAGTTTATACCATAACTAGGAGTTTAGGGACGTTGTTCCGACCTTCAAGCTACTCAAGGTCTTACATTTCCAACCTTTACAGAGGTCCGACATGCGCCTGGAAACTTCACAAAAATATGAGTCGTTCCCGGCTTCCCAGTCCTCAAGGCTCAGCACCTCCTGGACGGTATCCGGAATCGGGTCAGTATTTAATGTCGATATATAGGCCCATCGCACCCGATTTCGTATCTCGTGCTCCACCACTCGAACCCGCTTTTCAATCTCTGTATGATCAGAGAACGCTTCGGTTCGGGTACTTGTATTCGAACCGAACGATGCCCCTTGAGCCTTTGGCGTGCTGTGCAATTGGGGCCATGGGAACGTGCGAGCTGTCTTTTTTGGCGCTGGCGTGCTCTGTGTCTCCGACATTTTGGCTATCGGATTGCCGTGGTTCAGAGTGAAGTGAGGATGAACGAGAGTGAATGCTTGAATTTCGGAGGGGTTCGCTGTCTATTATATAGTTGACTCGGAGCGCATTCAACTGCCCAAGTTGCTATTCGGATCCGTATCCATATTCCCCTACATTCTAAAATTCAACGCCACTAAGTGATTGATTTCTTTGAAATAGGCCGATCACCCAGGACGATGCAGATCATCGCTGACCTTGCATCCCTTAGGGCCAATTACAGGTCTAGGTGATCGGGATATTACAGTTGGTCTGCGGCACAGTTGGCACATTTTGCGGCTGCTCTAACATTCAACTTTGCTATAATACGTCCGATTCCCCAATCGAACAGCAATTTTCTTTCTAATTCCTACATACTTTGTCCCAAAGAAATTCCGCAGCAACCCTCACTGTTCCTGCAACTTGAAACTCAACCACTGCGGAAACCAGCGTATAAACCTCGAGCAAACATGCAACGTCCGAGGTACGTGAGGCGCATACAGGACTATATGTTTTGGAGAAGGCGACTTCATTTGCCATTCCCAGCCTCGCAGTTTCGAAGGCGCAGACAGCATGCCCATTTGTTGCGGGAATCGCAAGATTGCAATCGCGTTTTACCTTCAGTGGAATCCGACATTCAGCCGAACAATCAAACTGAGGAGTCAGGGTTGAATGTAAGACCTTGGATCCTCTGTCAGCCTGCATCATTCTAATCACTGTGTACAGGATGCAGCAAGTCTTTCAGATGCCTCTGATGCTCCGCCCGACGCTCTATCCGACACTCATTCTGAACCAGAAGACATCAGGGTACAGGAGATTATACAAGAAGCAGTGGCAGCTCTACCCATGGGATCAGTTGATAACAATGAATCACAACAGTATGAAGAGCCCGAATCCGAACCCTGGTTACAGACTATGTTACATCCAGTGCACCCGGTTGGCAATGGAGATTCCGATTTTCATTCACAACTAGAGGATTCATTGGGCGACCAGCCAGCTGAGACCTACATCCCGACTACAATGAATGACCCGTCGGAGGTCCTAGTCCATGCGCGTGCGGAGCCTGATGAAATGCTGGACCACTTCACGCTCGCTTTAGGATTATGGTGCGAAAAATCAGGAATATCTCGCCGACACTACGAGGCACTGCGGGAAGTCTTACAGATTCCCGAAGACATCGGTGCACTGAGATCTCTACCATTGGGGCTGAGCACGTTGAAGAAGAAATGCAGAGCTCAATTCCCTATGCTTCCCATCCGACGGGCATCCATACCGGCTGTTCCATTGAAAATGCCAACTCTTTCACCTGCCGAGAAGCGACTAATACAGACATCTCTCACATCTAATTTATTCTTTCAGGATCCTGTGGCTCTTTTGTCATTACTGGCAAGGTCTCCTGTATTTCGCAAGAAGATACATATTGGTATGGCCGACCTAGTTGACAACCCGACCGAATTGTGGCAATCATGGAGCTGGGGGAGCTCCATTAGGTGTTCGTCGGGTGACTTTGCATGGTACCCTGACAGGACACCAGTCTTTCCTTCCGATTTTGTTCGTTTCAGGTGCAACAATGCTGCATGTAGGTGCACTTGGAATGAACAAGAAATCCATATCGGAAGGATTCAATTTGTGGGTCGGGACCGGAGACTGGCCTGCACAAAACCTGGTGAAATTGTTCTTATTGTCCAGTACACTATTACTGCCAACAGCTTTGATAAAAGAATCCATTCCCTGAGACCTCCGCTTTGCCCGAACGAGCTGCTCTTACTGGAAGACCAGGAAACTCACATCATACATGAAGACAACATTCTAGCCCGACTGGATGTCCATCTTGACTACACCTTTGACGGATCGGGTAGCTACAAACCCTCAGAAACAAATGGGCTCTTTGTACGGCGAGTGATGAATACAATTCGCGACACATCATCTGTACAAGAGCTCCGACTTAGCACTCCGCTCCGGGGTGAACTGGAAATCGCGGCATACGGGAGGGATATGCTGATCAAGATGCTCTGCCCAGGCGACCCTATCAAGAGGACTATATCCATTCCCTTCCAGCTGTTCATTGACGGATTCGGTCTATATCGGAACATGTACCGAAATATAACTGGCTTCTATATGATCCCTGCAGGACTTAATGATTCCGAAAGAAGACGACGAAACAATGTATATACAATCGCTCTCGGGCCTCATGCTACAAATTTTCCCGATGTTGTGGAGGCGTTGGCTCCCGGTTTACAAGCAGTTGAAAGAGGATTTGACATTGTGGTAACTGGTGAAGGAACTGTCAGGGTCATTGCTCCTTGTATTGCTTACCTTGGTGACATGCCGCAGCAAAATGACAATGCTGGGATCAAACGCCCTACTGCAACAGTCTCCTGTCGGAGCTGTACTGTCTCCGATGCGGAGAGGTTCAATATGAATTTCGACTTGGTGAAACGCGGCCGATACCATTACCACTTACTCAATTTGCGGGCCGAAATTGAGGCGAAGCGGACTGTTCGGGAGCGAGAAGCACTGTGGAAGACCCATGGATTGGCCAAGGAAAGTCCCCCGGTTTTGAAGATCTGCCCGGCACTGAATCTGGTGACATTTTTCCCCTCTGACCCCTGTCATAGTGAATTTTCGGGCCTGTCCAAAATTGCGCATACATTATTGATATCACATATATTGACACCTGAGGGGCAGAAGGAATACTGCCAAACCCTACAGAGGTTTCCATTTCGGAGACGCTGGGCCCGACTGCAGTCCCCAATTACCCATCTGGAGTCCTACCAAATCCAGGAACACGCCCGAGCTTCAATTGTGATCCCAATTATACTCCGCTTTGCCCTAAAGCCTGACTGGATTCAGACTGTTGTTCAGCAGGCTCTCTATAACTCCTTTGGTGAACAGTCAATTGATCCCGACATTCCGTGTTTGTTGCTTGCTAAAACCTTTGGTGCTATTGCAAGAAGCAATTCACTATTGACTTCTCAGACATCTGTCGGGTACAATGAACTTAAAAGTGTGGTTGCCAACGCCCGAACTATGCTTCAGAAAGTGATAGATGCTACTATCATGGCTGCCGAGGCACCACGGTCGGCTAGCCGGGCAGTATGGATGCTGAGATCACGGCAGAATTCACCAGTGTTCAATCAGATTGTTACACCCCCGACAGAGGATATTTCAATCAACACCGTCAGTATTGCCCCGAAAGCAGGTAAGATGTTACATGCTTTGAAACACCGACCAAACATGCATATCGGGGTGCACTATGCCGACCAGGCAAAGGAGTATGCTGTGCCAAATAACTGCAATGTACTGATCGGGGAGGATAAACACCGTGAATACAAAGCATTTGTGCAGCGAACCAACAAGCGTGATGTTGAAAAGGTTTTACTGATTCATGAGAGCTTCAAACGCACTATATCCTTGACTCTTGATGGGGCTCTTATGGAATCGGAACCCTATATCACCAGCCAGATGAAGCAACTTCATCGCGAATGTCCGATCCTCATGCAAGACCTCGTGCGATCGGAACACAATGAGCAACAAGATGATGATGAGAATGCCGACGAAGCCGATGACTCATATGCTACCACCCCCTTCCATACCTTAATCAATGCCTACTGCCGACTACCAGCTAGCCGCAAAGTCATGGAATTGCTTGGTTTACAAAGCGCGCGGCTTTCTGAACTACCAGTTACGCATCCCTTTTTGCAAAAGCTCCGACTTTCATACAGCAGTGATTGGGCATATCAACATATGCTTGGCAGAGGTTCGACCCCAATCCGATTGTTTCAAAAGCTAACCTTTACATTCAATGGAGATGCGCATCGCACTACATTGAAACTCGATGATCTGGTTGAGTATACTCGTGCATCGGGCACCAAGATCGGGCAAATAAGGTGCATATTCACCCACAACCAGGGCAGCAGCTGGAGGGTTTTTTTTGCCATGTTCTCTGCTCATGAAATTCGGCGCGAGAGGGTACTGGATTTGCCGATTTTGCAGGTGAATCGGGATGAGATTCATATAATCGGCCTACCTGCAATCCGCAAACCAAGCCTTTACACTATACCTGTCAGCAAAGATTCCGAAAGGCTCGAACTAGATTCTGCTCTGCCGACTACCTTTCTCAACTGCACTTGGAGCGTTTCCTTTTTATAGGTGGATCGGGCGGTTTGATGTATGTAGTATTGCGCATTAGTTGAAATCCAATTTCTCTCTCCAGTGTCTGCTGGGGTAACTATACTATAATGGTTTCTATACTATAATGGTTTCTATACTATAATGGTTTCCCTCCATATTTATAAACCCGAAAAGGTATCCCGAACGTTCCTAGATATATTCGTTGATCAGGGGTTTCAACGTTTCCCGATTTCTACGTTGAGGATCGGAAGCTACGTTTCCGAATTCGGAACGTATATATTTTTAAACTTCCAAACAACCGTGGATTCGGATAAACGTATATTCCGACGTAAACGTATCGGGACTAGTGGATCTACGGTTTACAAATCCTCCCCATTTCTGCTATGGCCAACTCTTTTCCGCTGCCAAGCTCCATCTCACTGTAAGAGATGAGATCTCACGAGCCTCTTTTGTAGAGCACAACCAAGATTAGTTTTCCATGCTCCAACAATTACCTCGTCCATTTGCTGTGCACGATGCAGGCGAATTCAGTAAAGAAACTGCCACGGCCAATCATCTGCTTGCTTCATCCTCCCCACTGTCCTTGGTCCGTGACTGGTCAGAGATGCAAGCGCTTCGTCCCGAAGTGGTTGATCTGATGCGGGAGAGGCATCGTATATCCCGCCGGCTTCGGGTCTGGTTGGATGGTGAGAGTGACGGGTGAATTCGCTGCTCGGGCCGCTCCCCGCCCAGTCCAATAGATGATGAGAGTCCCTAATGCACGCAAGGGTCCGCAGAGCCATGCGGCCGTACGCACACCGAGGGTTCATTCACCTCAATGATTGGATCCAAAGACTTCAGGGCGACAAAGCGTTGCCCCTACTGCATTGATAAGCTACAGTACCAAGGGTTTGGATAGGCGCCAACGCGGAATAGTCCGCATGAGGATATATAACTGACCACTCCCTGTGCTAACTCTCACAAAATGCTTCAGAAGAAAGAGTTAAACCACACTCTGTTTGCTCGCACATTGATTCGAGCCCTTCACACTTGTAACCCCAATATTTTGAATCCCCAGCGATTTCCAACGAGAGCCGCCATAGTCGGGCCCTCCCTCAACGAGTGAGTACACGCCAAGCTGTTTGCTGGAAAGTACTAACGAAATCATCCTGTGGTTAAATTCTCAGTCAAAGTTGTCAAAAAGTTTGCGGAAGGAGTCCCCTGGAGCAAGGTGATCCAAAAGGTGGCGAATGCTGAGAGAGGAACGCGAATATTCCCAAGCCAGACGCCTAAGAACGATGAGAAATACAATCTGCGATTTGATAAGGGATCTGTGGTTGGCGGGAAGCATGAGTTGATCCTTCAGGCCAACAAAAATGCTGAGAACGCCGGCGTCAAAGCCGCTGCAGCCGCGGACAGCCATAAAATATGGGCTAAAATTCTTGTCGATCCCGAGAATGTTGATGAAAAGAAGGCAGAGGCGGACTTGATCGAGTCATTCAAGGAAACCGACTAAAGGTTGCAAAGGTCGTGCGGGTGCTGGTTATACGAGTGGAAAATTTGAGAATGCATTTGAGAATCATGGGAACGTCCTTTTCTTACAACCGGGGGTTAGCGAGTCATTTGAACACTGGTGACGACATGAAAGTTCTGCCTCTGGTGATCCTTCCCTTAGAGTATAGCTTGAATAATCTATCTTTGAGTACTGGATAGATTTTCTGTAGTATAAGAAAGGATATACTATCTAGACCAGGAGTACTAGTTTTAAAGTCTGAAAAAATAGAGTTCTTAATTTCTATTTCTTGAAGACTAGGCCAATTCCAATCTGGATTTTCATGATATTCATTCCAATTTATTGGTGGATAGCTTGGTGGTTCTCTGAAGAGAGTTTTTATAAAAGCATTGCATTTTTCTTTAAATAAAATAGCTTTATTTTCTATTTCATTTTCAGAATCTGAGAATTCTAGAATAGGAGTTTTTTCCACTCTTTTTTCTTTAGTATATTTATATGCGTGAAAAATCTCTTTTTCTTGAGTATTTTCAAGAAATTCATTCCAACAACATGACTTTGCCTCTTTAATAGCATTAAAGTAGTCATTTCTAGTTTATTGAAAGAATTCTAAGCTGACTTGCTTATTCTTCAGATCTCTAAAAGTCTTTGTTATAGCTTTTCTCTTGACTTTTAGCTTCTCATTCCATCAAGATTTGAATCTTTCAGTTACTCTTTTTTTAAGAATGTGTTTTTCAATAGAAACTTGAATTAGATTTCTTAATTTAATTGCTTCTAATTCAAGTTCTAACAAGATATTTTCTTTTGAACTTTATTGAAACTCTTTCTTGTCTAGATTTTGAAGAAGAGATTTATTCATTTCATCCTAGTTAGCTTTCTGTTATGAATGTAGACCTAGACCAACCAAGCATCAGATGATGTCAGATGTTCAGGAGTATTCATGTGACCCCAACTCTGAATGTATAAGGATCACATGATTTGCATAGATTGTGAGAACTCCAGTGTTCAGTCTTCTAGTTAGAGAATCTCTATATTCTATGCACAACTCCCTCCCATCAGTTGCAGGCATCATATCTACTTAGCTCTTTTGTACCCCTAATTCTGAGAAAATCTATATAATCTACAACCAGTTCTTCTAACATTCTGAATGCTCTGACATATGATTATCTAAGTTGGTACAATGTCATCAAGATCCATGAGATGAATTATAACAACATCCTATATTGCAGACCCAACAGAGGTAGATATTAATATGAAGAAGATGAACATTGATGAAGATGCTGGTAGCAGTAGAGCCATCACCAGTAAGATATCAGCAGATGATATAGACAATAGAGATACGTCTTTTAATATGTTAGATGAAATCTGAAGAAAGAAGATCTTTGAAGAAAAGAAGATATATCTGTAAAAAAATCTAGCAGATATATATAAATAAAATAAGATATGCAGACTGCAGAAGCAGATAGAATATAAACAAAGAATAGTAAATAATGATTTCTCTTTAGAGTTTCTCTTACACACATGACTGATAGAGGAGTCAGATAATTTTGATGATATGAAGCTCTCAAAAGCATCTTACTACCATAGCAAATTACTTGGTGAGTGCAAATTATAGCTAGCTTTAATAAGACAACAGTTTTATCTGAGAAAATCATTATGAAAGACACCAGATGTGGTCAGAATTAATTGAATGTCCAGCTATTTTTGTGACAAACTCCAGATATATTAGCAGATATTGGGAATAGAGAGAGAATAACTACCTATATCATGGAATGAATTCAAGATATGATGTAAGAATAATGTTAAATCTAAGATAACTTGTAGTTAAGACATGATGCAGTATTATTATAATACTGTCCAATAAGAGAATCAATTCATACTTTTATTTTTCATGTACATTGCTAAACTTGAACAGAATCTGAATAGTTTATCAGATGAATTCTTTTGTATATTCTTCTTATAGATAAAGCTCAGATTAATCATCTGGTCTGAACTGCATAAACTGCAACACCAATGAAAAATGATTGTAAAATTATGAGAACAAGTAACACTTATTGAGTCCATTCTAGAAAAGAAGAAGCAAAGTCAGTAGAACAAGAATTAAAATGAGAAGAAATAGAAAATCTCAATCTCTTAAAAGAAACATGTGTTCCAACAAGATAATAAAGAAGATTATCTATAAATGAAGAAGATGCTGGTGAAATCACTTTCAAAAATATTGAAAGAGAAATATAAATGATAAATAAATGAAAAACTCTGTCTAAGATATGACTAGAGTGGTATCTGGTTTCAGGATTTCCCATCCTGGTTCCAGATTCCCATTCCAATTCCTGTCCCAAGGACAGGATCAGGTTGAAGCTCAGCTTAATGGGATGGAACCAGGTTGTTTAACAGCATATTGGGACAGTTCTGTGGGAACTGGAATTGGGATGGAATTGGGACCAGGATCAAAATCTAGCTAGTAGAACAGGCCTGGGACCTGACATGACAAAATGAAATAGAATCAGGATTTCAATATTATATATGAGACAGGACCAGTAAAGTGTAGAATGGGACCAGAAACTCCAGTTCTATTTGTGTTGTCAAAAAATAATGATTTTTGATAACAGTCTTGATACTAATTAATAAAAATAGATGCCATCAAGAAAATTCATCACTTCCAGAGCTCTATCAAGCTAATCTTACTGGTAGCCCTGTTCCAGCAATTAGTTCAGGAAATTACTTTATTCTGTTATCAAGAACATAAATATTACTGGTAATGTACTGTTATTAAGTCACTTCAGAAGACAGCTGAAGCAATCTTGTATGCTCTGTTTGAGTGTAAGTCATTCTTAGTAACAGCACCAACAATTATACTGAGTAATATAGACTCTATTATGGCAATGATGCACTATAAGCACATTACAGTTAACACTGATAATATAAAGCTCATTCTTGATATTAGTGTTAAAATCAGGTCAAACTATTTTGGCCTGATTAATGCATCTGATTATCTCATTTCTGCTGTCACCATCTGCTGCCTGCATGCTGCCTCCACTCCACTAACTACTGCTGCTGCCACTTCACCACCACTGCTACTGCCCATCACCATCTCCCTGCCTCCCCCCAGCACCATCAGGATCTCCACCTATCAAATAGTGGGTATTAGAGCCCCTGTCCAGTTCACAAAGCCAGTTCTGGAGGAGCAGAAGAAGAAGAAGAAGAAGAAGAAGAAGAAGAAGAAGAAAAAGTGAAAGAAGAAAAAAAAGAGAAAGAAGAAGAATGATAATGATGATAAAGATGATAATAATGATAATTAACTTGTTATTTAGACAGTTTCTGTTTGTTTGCTGGCTTTGACTATTAGTTAGTTTTAATACTTTGTTTCTTTTAACAATCAAATTGATTTTTCTATGAGTTCTGTCTTCATTAAAAAAGTAATAAAATTTGATAATGGTCCACACAAAATTTGATCAGTTTGACTCTTCCCTATAAATTTGACATGATGGAACCAGAAATTCTGGTCCCATTCCAGTTCCACTATGAATCTGGCTGGAATGAGAAATGGGAGTCTACCATCTCTGCTGGAATGGAATATAGAATATAATTTTCTATTTGAGAATGGAACCAGGAAATAATTTCTGGAATAGGAATGGAAACAGGACCTTAAGCTCTTGAGTGAGATGAGACATGGGACTGAGATTTCATATTTGAGATCCTGGCTGTTTCTAAATTCAGAACCAGAACCAGGTTCAATGGGAAATGGAATCCTGTTCCAGTCCTGAATACCAGCCTAGATATGACTAACCAGACTATAGAGCAAAGTTCTGTATAAATGACTTTCACAAGTTCCAGTAGATAGATGAAAAGAATGAAAATTGAGTAAAGACTAGAGCTGCAAAGCTTATGCAAGACCCAGATCAAATATTAGAAAAATGAAGTGTTAACTTAATAGAGAAGACAAGCAGGTGCAGTATGTATCTGTTGGCTATACTGATTACATTATCAGGTGATCTTATGAAGCAAGCTGCACTGTTGAACTCAGGTACCACAGTAGATAGTATCTTTTATAAACTGATGTTCTAATTGAACTGAGATCAACCAGAGACACCCATGGAAGTTATTGAGATGTTAAATGAAGCTGAGACTGATTAGTACAGCACCTTCAAGACTCAACTCACTATAATAGACTTCATGAAGACCACAAAAATGGTAAAATGTATGTTTGCAGTGATTAACATGGTCAACATGAACATAGTCCTAAATATATCATGGTTAGAAGATTTCAACCCAGACATAAACTGGAAGAACAAGATATGGTGTTACTGATTCTCAGAGAAAATAATGAAACTTCTGAATGCAGATAGATTTCTCTGAGTGGTGCACATCAAGAACAAACTCTCTTATGCTATTTTCACATCAGATAACAACCAAGTCCTGACAGAAGTGCCTGAGTGGTTGAGAAACTATAAAGATATTTTCTCAGAAGATAAAGTAACAGAGTTGCTGAAATTAATAAAGATTAGTCTCATCTGATTATTCTTAAAGACAGCTGCAAGCCTCTGTACATACTAATCTATAAACTATTGCCCAAGCAGATGGAGATTCTACAAGAGTATATCAAGAACAAGTTATGCAAGAGTTAGATATATCTGTTACAAAGTCCAGCAGGAACTCCAGTGTTGTTTGCACTCAAGACTGATGAAGAACTCAGACTCTGTGTTGATTATTGTGATCTTAATGCAATCAGAGTAAAGGACTGTTATCTCTTGCTGTTGATAGACAAGATGTTAAGCTGGTTGGCAGAAGCATGCTACTTTTTCAAGATAGACCTATGTGATGTCTACCACTGGATTAGAATCAAAAAAGAAGATGAATGGAAGATCATGTTTTGTATAAAGTTTGGGAGTTTTAAGTATCTTATCATGTCTTTTGGGTTGTCAAATACACCAGCAATCTTCCAGTTCTATATCAATAGAGCACTGGTAGGCCTGGTTGATGTATACTGTATAGTTTATCTAGATGATATTCTTATCTTCTTTGTCTCAGAGAAAGAGCACAAGAAACATGTTAGACTAGTTATAGAGTGTCTAAGGAAATACCAGTTGTTTGCAAAGCTTGCTAAGTGCACTTTTAAAAGATAAATAATCTCATACCTCAGATATATTATTGATAATAAAGATATTAAGATAGACTCAAAGTGAGTACAGATGATTATAAAGTGGCTCTTGCCATGAAGTTTTCATAATATCCAGGTATTTCTGGGTTTTGCAAACTTCTATTAGAGGTTCATACAAAAGTACTCAGTTATTGTAGTGCTGTTGACAGATCTCTTGAAAGACAGTGAAAATGGGTGAAAGAAGAGACCATTTCTTCTGACACCTGCTGCCAGAGAAGTATTTCACACATTAAAAGTGGTCTTCTCTGGAGAACCTGTCATCCACCACTATGATTCAGAATGTAGAATATGTCTGGAAATAAATGCTTTAGAACATGCTGCAGATATGATATTGCTACAGCTGTTTGATGATAGATGGCACCCAGTTGCCTACTGGTTATTCAAGTTTGACCAGACTCAATAAGTCTATGACATGCTAGATAAGAAAATGTTGGCCATTGTCTAAGTGTTTATTTATTAACAGCAGTACTTAGAAGAAATGAAGTACTCTGTAGAGATCATTACAGATCATGCAAATCTTTGTTTATTTATGAAGTTCATAAATAAGGTGGCACAATAATAACATGTAAGATGGATAGAGATTCTCAGAGTGTATAACTTTGAGATTCTCTACTGCTCTGGAAAGCATAATCCAGCTGATATATTATTATGAAGACCAGATTATGTCAAACTAGAAGAAGACATTGATCTGCTGATATATATGCTCAAATAATGTTATGTGAATGGTGTTCCAGAGTGGGACCTATTTGAAGGAACTTTCTTTAATAAAGAAAATATTCAAGTATGTGCTGCTTGTGCTGTTCAAAGCAGTGAGGTAGAGGTGGTGCAGAGGAGACCTGATAATATCAAGACAGTTAAGTTAGTCCAGAGAGCACCAGCTAAAGATACTGGAAAGGCTTAATAAAGAAATTGCAGGAGATTCTGGATTTCCTGTGTGTGTGCAAACATGATAATGAAAGATAAAAAGGCTTATAATGAACTAACTGTGAGTGTGTTGGATCTGCTGCTAGAAGTACAGAGAGATGATTCCTCTGTACAAGTAAGATTTACTGAGGCAGAATCTCAGCAGTCAGAGTGGAAAATAGATAAATAAGGTCTTTTGACAAAGAGCAGTAGAATCTATATCTCTAATGATCTGGCTCTAAGGCAGGAATTATTATAAGTCTATTATGACAATTTATTTACAGATCACTTTGGTGTGGTGAAGATGTTTGTCTTGCTCTGGTGAAAATATAATTGGCAATTGATAAGACAAGATGTCCAGACATACATATGTGAATGCCAAACCTGTCAATAAGAGAAGACTCCAATACATAAATCATATAGATTGCTTGCATTATTGCTAACATCCAGTGATTTCTGGTGTTTAATATTCATAAACTTTATAATGGACCTCCCTCTGAGTGAAGAGAAGAGAAATCTATATAATGCAGTTCTGGTTGTTGTGAATTGATTTATGAAGCTTGCATGTTTTCTTGTGTGTAGAAAAAAAATTGATGTGCTAGAGATAGCAAATCTTCTGTTTAGAAGAATGTTTAAAGACTTCAGATTTTCAAATCATATTGTTTTGAACTGGGAATCTGTTTTCATGAGTGAATACTGGTTAGAGCTATGTTTTCACATGAAAGTTAGATAAAAACTCAGCATGGCATTCCACCCACAAATGAATGGTCAAACAGAGATACTGAACAAGATTTTGGAGAGATATCTTCATATCTATTATAGCTATAGACAAGATAATTGGGGGGAGTGGCTTGTGTATGCAGAATTTGCATACAACAGATCAGAACACTCTGTAATGCACATGTTCCTGTTCAAAACAATGTATGGCTTCAAATCTAGGGGACCAGATGAGATTCAGAAGTTGATTGATGATAATAATAATATACAGATGATATCTGATAGAAGATTGAGAATAATCTCTGTGTTAACAGATAGTCTGATAAAATGTTTGATGAAAAGAAAAAAGAATCAAGTATGGTTCTATAACTAAAGATATCAAGATAAAGTGTATGCACTTGATGATGAAGTGATGTTGTCATCAAGAAATCTATAAATAATATATTCTTGCAAGAAGTTAGATGACAAGTACTATGGACCTTTCTTAGTGATAAAGATTATAGAAAATAATGCATATTGACTGAAGCTCTCTTCAAGCTATCAGATTTATAATGTTTTCCATGTCTTATTGCTGGAACCATACTGTACAAGAACAGGTGAGACACCAATGTGTTCTCCTGCAGTACTAGTGGATGACCATCATGAGTGAGAAGTAGATGAAATCTTGAACAACAAAGTGCACTATTGTAAGAAATGTTACCTAGTGAAATGAAAGGAATTCTCTATTAAGGAATTAATGTGGGAATCTGAGAAAAACCTTGAAAATGCACAAGAAGTTCTTAAGAATTATCTACAAAAAAAGTCAAGTCATTCTAAAACAAACAAATCTATGTACAAAAAGAAGACTAGACATGCTAAAGATCATCACATGTAATGAAACCAAATAACTAGTAACAAGAAGAGATATTATAAGAGTGCCTGAAATATGGCTGCAACAGAGATAAACCAGTCAAAAATCAATGTGATTCTGGAGTTGCTGGAACTAGGCTGGTATTCAGGACCAGGACAGAATTCCATTTCCCATTGAACCTAGTTCCAGTCCTGAATTTAAAAACAGCTAGAATCCCAAATATGAAATCTCAGTCCCATATTCCATTCCACTCAAGAGCTTGAGGTTCTGTTCCCATCTCTATTCCAGAAATTATTTCCTGGTCCCATTCTCAAATAGAAAATTATGTCCCACATCCCATTCCAGCAGAGATGGTAGACTCCTATTTTCCATTCTGGCTGGATCCATAGTGGAACTGAAATGAGACCAGAATTTCTGGTCCCATTGTGTCAAATTCATAGAGAAGAGTCAAACTGATCAAATTTTGTGTGGACTGTTACCAAATTTTGTTACTTTTTTGATGAAGACAGAACTTATAGAAAAATCAATTTAATTGTCAAAAGAAACAAAGTATTAAAACTAACTAATAGCTGAAGCTAGCAAATAAACAGAAACTGTCTAAATAACAAGTTAATCATTATTGTTATTATCTTCATTATCATTATCATTCTCCTTCTTCTTCTTCTTCTTCTTCTTCTACTTTTTCTTCTTCTTCTTCTCCTTCTTCTTTTTCTGCTCCTCCAGAACTGGCTTTGTAAACCAGACAGGGGCTCTAATACCCACCATTTGATGGGTGGAGACTCTGATAGTGCTGAGGGAAGGCAGGGAGGTGGTGGTGGGTGGTGGTGGTGGTGGTGGAGCAGGGGCAGCACACAGGTGGTGAATGGTGGTGGCAGGGGCAGAGTAATCAGGTGCATCAATCAGGCTGAAATAGTTCAACCTGATTTTGGCACTGATGTCAAGAATGAGCTTCATATTATCAGTGTTGACTGTAATATGCTTACAGTGTGCCATTGCCATAATAGAGTCTATATTACTCAGTATAATTGTTAGTGCTATTGCTAAGAGTAACTTATACTCAAACAGAGTACACAAGATTGCTTCAGCTGTCTTCTGAAGTAACTCAATAACAGTACATTGCCAGCAATATTCATGTTCTTGATGACAGAACAAAGTAATTTCCTGAACTAATTGCTAGAATGAAACTACTGGCAAGATTAGCTTGATAGAGCTCTGAAAGTGATGGATTTTCTTGATAGCATCTATTTTCACCAATTAACATCAAGATTATTATCAAAAATTATTACTTTTTGACAACACAAATAGAACTGGAGTTTCTGATCTCATTCTACACTTTACTGGTTCTGTTTCATATACAATATTGAAATTCTGGTCCTATTCTATTTTGTCATGTCAGGTCCCAGGCCTGTTCTACTAGCTAGATTTTGATCCTGATCCCAATTCCATCCCAATTCCAGTTCCCACAGAACTGTCTCAATATGCTGTTAAACAATCTGGTCCCATTTCATTAAGCTGAGCTTCAACCTGATCCTGTTCTCAGGACAGGAATTGGGACAGGAATCTGGGACTGGAACAGGAAATCCCGGAACTGGATACCACTCTAGCTGGAACTGGTGGTATGATAACAGATAGTACTGTAATGAAAGTAGGCTTAATAGATAAAGAATCATGAAAAGAACAAATTGTGTCTACAATACTCCAGAAACTAGAGAAGACAATGTCAGTCAGACAGTTGATGGAAGACATAAGATTAGTCTAGACAGAGATTAGTCTGACAACAAGAAAAAATGATGAAGAAAATCTACAAGACTGCTTTTTGTAACACTCTGAAGAGCTTTGGCTTCATCTGTTAAACAAGTGGTAAAATGATTAAGAGAAACTCAGATGTTTTCAATTTTATTTTCTATCTAGGACAGGATAGTATAAATTAGAATTGTTGAACAAAAAAGCTCAGATGGACTGTCTTTAATAGATTCTGTTTTGAACATGAGGTCCACAGTTTTGATTTCACAACATAATGCAGAATGATGGTATTTTGTAGAAGATTCTTCAACAGCAGAAGTGGCCTGGTGGCAGTAATGTTTAGCAGCTTCTGAGTCAAGCCCATGAAATTCATGCACAAGTATACTCATGCACTTGACATTATAGGAATGACACAGATCAGCTGTGTCAAAACTATGGTATTCTTCTCAAAGTTACAAGAGCTGATAAACTAGTTTGATGGTGGATTCTGGAATCTACAGCTATGTCAGAACAACAAGAAGAATGAATGAAGACACACTTACATCACAACAGATACAGATTTAATGTTTTAAACAATAAGAACAAGATTTCTTCTTGATGTTTTATAGACAAGACTTGTCTTCATCCAGGTAGTTCATAAACATCAAGTAAATGCAGATGGAGCATGGAAGAATATCATCTTTGTCATGCACAACAGAGTCTTTTGATGACAATATTGTGATAAGCTATAAAATAAATGAGAAATGATGTCTGAGCTCAAACAAAGCAGAAGAAAAAGAAGAAAAAAGAGAACTAGAAACTTTCTATTTATATCTATACTGCAATGCACTAAAGTTGCTAGTCCCATGACTTGTTAATAGATAATGTGACAATGAACAACAGATAATATAGCAATCAGACAAGCAAACAAACAAAGAAATGAGTATGTGACAAAACACTGAACATTTATAATAAAATAATTACTGTTCTATAATAAAGAATATCTACTGCAACTGGTGACAATATACATGCAGGATATTTATATAGACAAGCAGTAGTAATGCAAAAGCTTGCACATTCAAGAATCTATAATACTTCACTAATGATAGAGAAGCTATAATGATGTACAAAAAACCACTTCAGTAGCTCTATGTCTCAGAGTCTGAGGCCTCTGAGGAGGGGAATAGTATTACAAATGTAAATCTAGACCAACCAAGCATTGGATGATATTGAATATTCAGAGGTATTCACATGATTCCAACTCTGAATATATAAGAATTATATAATTTGCATGAATTGTGGAAACCTCAGCATTCAGTCTTCTAGTTAGAGAACTTCTATGTTCTATACATGACTTCCTCCCATCAGTTGCAGGCATTATACCTACTTAGCTCTTTCATACCCTTAATTCTGGGAAAACCTATGTGACCTACAACTGGTTCTCTTAACACTTTCTGAAAGTTATATTGATTTGAATAAAGTGAATTTTCAACAAGATTTTCAGTATTTAGTTCAATATTAAACTGAATAATTTTATAATCAGAGCCAGAGTGAAGAGCTTCATCAATTCATTACTTATGTATTTTTTGAGTTAAGTGAGTGGAGAAAAAAGTTAAATCTATAATTATGTGAGGATTGTATGTGTGGATCAGCATGACAATGAATCTCTAGAAGAAATATACATGAAAAAAAAGTATGCAAGTAAAAGATCTATATTCTGGCAACTATGTATGACTTGTAAACAAGATTCCACTGGCTTCCAGCAAGAGCTTTGTGCAGTGACAGCCTTTTATGTGTGCTTGCAAGCACGTGACCTAGTGCCTCACAAGAACACATGCAGCTCCCAGCAGCTCACAAGCTGAGGCCTCTGGCTCTTGCAGGTACTGTTTGTCCATGTAAGGGGTTCGCGGCAAATCCTTACAAATTAATTTAGATGATAGATTTAATCTGAAGAAAGTTTCTCTGTCTATCTTATTTATTAAATTTATATTATTAATTTCAAGCTATTCTACTAGTTTTTCAGCTCTGACTGAATTAACTATATTTGAATTCCACCATGGATGATGAGCATTCATATCTTCAGTAACAATAGAGGGTTGACAGACTGATATATTTACTAGTTCTCTTTTAATAATTTACAGATTTGAATTATTCTTTAGATCTTTTTTACTATATATATTTATCAGTTAAATAGTTTCAAACTGACTGTATTTATCTTTGATATCTATAACTAGAAGACTATTGCTAGAGTATATATCAGGTCTTAAGTAAGATTGATATCTGGACTGTTTTCTAGCAAAAATCACTACTCTAGATCTCAAATCTTTGTTTTCAGGAAGAATGCAATTATTATTATTATTATTATTATTCATTATAGTTTTATGCAGTCAGTAACTATAAAGACTATCTAACAGTTTCTCTGTTAGAGTTTACTTAGTATACATTGTAGAAACTGAATAAAGAAAAAAATTCAAAGTATTTCAAGGCAATATAAGATGTTCTTTCTCCACAAAAGTCAAATAGCAGATAGAGCATAATATTAATTTTAAAGAAAAATAATAATTCTTATAGCAATGTGATACAAATCAAAAAGAAATAAAATTAGCATATTTGGGAAAGCCACTGTCTAGTAGCTATTCTAGTACATTTCAGAAATAAAACTAGTCATTTTAAGTCTAATTTAGTTTCAAAAATAAAATTTAAAGATAGTTGAGAAATATCAAGTTCTTGTTAAATTTTTCTTCTTTCAGTATAATAAGCTGAGCAGTCTAATAGTAGATGCTTTGGATTTTCAACACAATTACAAAAATAGTATAAATTGGAAGAGTAGTCAGATAATCTTATTAGATAAGATCTGAAATATCCATGACCAAGCTTTAATTAACAAATAGTTAACCATATCTTCTTAGATATAGAAAGAGTAGATGCTTTCTATCTGGGTTTTATTTTGAATTGAAAGTAATGATTTGTAGAACTTTCTCTATTAAAAGCATCTTCAAATCACTCTATTATTGCTTGTTTTTTTATTTGTCTTTTTATATAAGTAAGAGATATATATCTTTCAGAACAAACTTGATTCAATTCTGTAGCTTTCTTTACTGCTAGATCAGCTTCTTCATTTTCATGTATATTTACATGTGCAGGAACCCAATGAAGATGTAGATTAATTTGCTGATTTTTAACAGACTTAGCAGTTTTTCTTATAGATTGAAGATAATATAAGCCAGAATTAAGATCTTGATTCATGAGTCTCTGAATAGCAGCTTGACTATCAGAAAACATCCAGATATCTGATATTAATCTTGATTGAGACTGAGAGATAGAACTTTCTAATTTAAATGCTTTATCTATAGCAAACAGTTTTGCATTAAAGACTTCAAGGTATTTTCTAGATTCCATGAAAATTTAATATTATCTTGTAGATTGTATACACCAGCACCAGTATATTGACTTTCTTCAGCTTTAGATCCGTCTGAATAGAGAATTAAAGATCTATTATCTAGATTTTTCATTTTATTTATGTGACTATCTTTAGCTGTTTTCTTGTCTGAATTTTCAATTTGAATATCTATTAAATCAGCTAGATTTTCAGACCAAGGTGCATTCCATTTTGCTTCAATTCTCTCTGTTTTTAGAGAAGGTAACATATTTGAAATCATTGAACAAATTCTGAATAGTTGACTTGGATACTTTTTTTGTTTATTGATTTTTCTTCTTTTTCTTTTTCTTTTAGTTGATGTTTGTACAACATATTCATTATTTAATTCTGATTGATTCCAATCTAAAGACCTTTCCTAATCAAGATCAACACCATTATTATAAGGTGGAAAGCTAGAAGATACTCTTTTTCTGATTGCATATTCTTTTGCTATTTTTAATAGTCTATAAGTATAGTTTCCTTACTTTAGCAGGAGGAATAGGAGCTTTAATCTTTATAGCATAAATTGGAAAAGTTTTAAAAGCTCCTAGAACCTTCCTTAAAGCAGAGTTTTGAAGTTTCTCATACTTATGAAGAAGATTCTTTTGATTCTTCCACTAAATCTGAACACCATAATCAGCTACTGAAGTAATACAAGCTATATAAAGTTGTCTTATAGCTTGAAAAGTAAGACCTTTTTCAGTATTTGAAAGTCTGATTATTTGATTAAGAACTCTTCCAGCAGCTGATATCTTAATTTCAACATGGTTCTTGAAAGTAAAGGTATTGTCAAGCCAAATATCTAACTATCTCACTAGCTTTTTGGGTTTAAAAACTTGATCATGTAGTTTAACTGAGTTATCTTCACTAAATAATTTAGTAAAGTGAATTAACTTAGTCTTTTCCATATCAAATTGAACTACATGAGAATCTTATCTATTAGACATTGCTTGTAAAGCTTTACCTAACTTAAAGTAGTTTTCTTCTATTGAA